TATTTTATAAGAAATTGCACTTTATATATATTTAAAGATAAATGAAAGATACACCATTTTTATGCTACTATAATTATTTTATTCTTTTTACAATTCTTACACACGTGCTCATTATATTACAAACATTTTATATTATATTTCCAAATATTTTCATTGAATAATTAAATTAAATAATAAATTATTTCTTTGCCACATAGCCTCCTCCTATAAAGAGCATCGACCCGATGCTCAGAAGAAGACTTACATCCTCAGTCTCAAGGCTCGAGAACGGGTGATAGGGCCTGAGAACTCTTCGCAGGTCTGTGGTTGTTATGTTCGTTCAGTGGGGATGTCTTCTTCCTGGACGCTTGGCGAGTCGTTTCCTGGGTCCTCTTCTAGGTGCTCCTCCTGGTCCTCTGGGTTTGAATAAGGTTTCATTCTACAAACGTGAACCAAGTCTTTTGTTTTATGATGACCTTGCTGGTTGCCGAATGTCTCAACTTTGTAGGTCACATCGGAAATTTTTCGGGTTACTTTATATGGACCGAAGTAACGTCCCATTAGTTTTTCCGAATATCCCACTTTGCGCACAGGGTTAAAGACCCATACAAGATCTTCAGGCTGGTAAATTATGTTTCTGTGGTGAGCGTCATAACGGAGTTTATTAACAGGTTCAATGGCATTTCTGCTTCACGCCCATGCACAAGGAAGAATGGAGTGAATCCGGTGGACTCTTGCCATGCTGTGTTGTATGCGAATGTCACAAATGGAAGGATCATATCCCAGTCTTTCTGATTGACGTCAACATACATAGACAGCATGTCTGCCATGGTCTTGTTCAGCCTTTCTGTGAGTCCATTCGTCTGAGGGTGATAGGCGGTCATCGTCCTGTGAATTATTCTGCAGTAATTGTTCAGATCACGAATCAATGATGATGTGAAATTCCTTCCTCTGTCGGTGATTAGTTCCCTCGGAGCACCGTGTTTCAGAATTACATACTCTACTAAGAATTTGGCAACTTCCATTGATTCACTAGTTGGTAGCGTTTTATTGATTGCATACTTTGTCAGATAGTCTGTGCAGACAATAATCCAGCGGTTTCCACATGTCGATGTTGCCTAAGAGGTTTATTACAATCTTTTCAAAGGCAGCTGTAGGCAACGGTATTGGCTGTAAGTGTCCTGAAGGGAGCTGTCGTTTGCGTCGCTGACAGTCTTGACAGTGAGCCACATACCTTCTAACATTCCTATACTTTCCAGGCCATAAGAATTTTTTTCTAATTTGATCATAAGTTTTGGTGAACCCAAGATGTCCAGCAGTGGGCGAATCATGGAAATATCTCAGTATTTCAGGCCTGAGGTGGCGAGGGACCACCAGAAACCATATTCTTTCCATTGGATCATAATTATTTTTGTAGAGAATATTATCATATCTTGAAAGAAAGGACTTATTAGAGGTCTCTTGTTGTATTTGGTTAGCGATCTTCATGAGATCCGGGTCTTTCATTTGTTCCTGTCCAAAATTCTGTAAGGCCATTAAACTAGGAATATATTCCTCAATGTCCTCACTACAGCTTAAAGGACATCAAAATAAACAGTCTGCGTCCTGATGTTTTCTTCCACTCTTGTACATAACTGTAACCTCAAATTCTTGCAAACGAAGGGCCCATCTTGCTAATCTTCCACACCAATTTTATGCTTCTTCTTGTGTGTATGGCCGTTTTCTAATTATATGGTCTAAAAATTTTGAAAAGTAAAAAAAAAAAGAAAATAGCCAAACCGTGGCTATAGTGAACCAAAAGCTCTGTTACATTGGGGTTCACTATATAGGGGTTTAACTGTAATAAATCATGTAATAAATAATATTTATACTATAATTTATCAAACACATATATCTAATACAATATAATACACTGCGGCCTGTGATTGCAAAACGACACTTGAAGTTACACCGCATGAGTTTCTTTTCAATGAAAAATCAAAATCTTATTTCAAGGTGATATATAGACTATTTCTAACCTTTTGGATGAGGTATGAAAGTATGAATTATAAAGAGTAATGATGAACGGAAAAATAAAAGTGTCCAGGGATGGGAGTCGAACCCACAATGTTCCGCTTACCGGGCAGATGCCATGTCCACTAGGCTACCCTGGACGTATTTTTCCGTTCGTAAATGATACATAAAGTAACTTATAATTCACTGCAGCCTGTGATTGCAAAACGACACTTGAAGTTACACCGCATGAGTTTCTTTTCAATGAAAAATCAAAATTTTATTTCAAGGTGAAATATTGACTATTTCTAACCTTTTTGGATGAAGTATGAAAGGGTGAATTAGAAACTCGTACGGTGTAACTTCAAGTGTCGTTTTGCAATCACAGGCTGCAGTGTATTATAAGTTACGTTATGTATCATTTACGAACGGAAAAATACATCCAGGGTAGCCTAGTGGACATGGCATCAGCCCGGTAAGCGGAACATTGTGGGTTCGATTCCCATCCCTGGACATTTTTATTTTTCCGTTCATCATTACTCTTCATAATTCACCCTTTCATACCTCATCCAAAAAGGTTAGAAATAGTCAATATTTACCTTGAAATAAAATTTTGATTTTTCATTGAAAAGAAACTCATGCGGTGTAACTTCAAGTGTCGTTTTACATATATCTAATATTTTATATTCTGATCTCATGGAATGGGGTGTAGAATATTTTATATTCTAGAAATGATATTTGACCACTACACACAAAAAAAAAACATCAACATGTAGTATACCACAATTTAACCCCTTCTGATAATTTCTATTAAATAAATGTAATTTAAAGTTGATTTTATGATAAATAATTTATCCGACTCCACTTGGAATTCCATGCCGCCCACAAAATGTGAGCTGTTATTTAAAATATAAACTTTAACGAACATTTGATCAAATTTCAATTCGATTAAAAGTGAAAAATAAAGTTACTCATTTATTTATTTATTTCATCTCAATTTACAGGTGTTACATTCGAGCACAGCTCGCGAGTCACCTTGTCCTGGCTATTTACACATGGCGAGTTGGTGGAGTAGAGGTTGTCCCCCCGGACCTTGCAGGAGGGCAGCTGTTGGGCGATGAGCTCTTAACTAAGCGTCAGGGCCAGGTCGTCGGAATCGGGAATTGATATCTCTTTTATTTTGTAGAATATCTTGTATGATTGGAATATTTGAATTTTGCATTTGAAGGTATAATTTCTTAACGGAAGTTTGGTACATATCTTCTAGATCGGGTTGGTTCAAGTCCTCCTTCAGTATCTTGTTTGATAGGTTGAATGGAGCTCCTATACTTGTCTGAAGGCAGATTCTCATGAATGCGTTTATCCTATTTTTGTCTGGTTGTAATATATTTGCACCAAACTGGGAGTGCGTATGTTACTATCGGGAGGATACAACTTCTGTATAGAGTAAACCTTTGTTTTGTAGACAATTTTCTTCTATAGTTGAACAGGCTTGATAATGTTATTTTTGCGATTATTGCTTTCTTTATGATATTTTTGACATGCATGTTGAATTTCAACTTGGAGTCTAAAGATATTTAACGCTGTCAGTCCAGTTAATAGGGCTCTGGTTTACCATTAGGATGGATTGTGGCATGAATTTTTTATTGTCTAGTGGAGGAAAATTATTGCCTGTGACTTTTTTGGGTTGATGTCTAATTTCCAATCATTGCACCATTTGGTACTACTGTTTATGTAATTTTGGAGTTGTGTAGTTATTATTCTGCCTCTTGTGGGACTTTCTTATTTGGATGTATGTTTTATGTCTATTAATGTGATTAGCTGGTGGGTTGTGGTGGTTGTGGTTGTGTCCTTTTCTGAATCCAAAGTTACTCATAATATCAAATTATAAATTTATAAGAAATACAGGAGCGTTCCCAGTAAGTAAGCAAAAACTTTGGAAGGCGGCGCTGTACGTTGCCGGCCCCGTACCTTCGAGGCGTTTTACACGAGTTAAAAATACAATTTCGGTGAAATACTTTAAAAGTAAAAAAAAAAAAAACATTTTTTTAGAATAAAATATTAAACTAATTATTCTAAAAACGAACATTATTTTTTTAATATTCTGAAACTAACCTAATCTAACTAATCATGCAGAAAATACACTCATTACTTACCCAACTGGAAACATTGGAGAAGAACTGCATTCTACAATGGATTCCTGCCCATGTTGAGATCGAGGGTAATGAAATGGCAGATGAATTGGCAAAGGTAGCCAGAAAGCTGAGCCAAAGGAAAGAACAAATGTCATTATTTGACGATGATGCTTTGGCAAAATACAAGGTAATTATAAACAAAAAAAATAAGAAAAGATCAAATATGTGAAATAAACTCTGAGAGAAAACTGACAAAAACTATAAAAAGACTTAGAACAAAACACTATAAGGGAATGACAATACATCCAGATTGCACAAGAACCTATTGTTGGGAATCTTTTATGGTTCAGACAATGAAACAACAAATAACAAGTTTACTTACAGCTGAAATGGTTTTAAAGAATTAGGCGATTTTACCTTTAAGAAAGTATTTTGAATTTATTTTTTTCAAAGAGAGAGAGTGTTATGATTGAACTGACAAGTTGATCCGGCAACACGGCAGACTCGATTAGTAAACATTCTTATATATTTAATTAAAAAGGCATATATTGGATCGCCCGGGTATTTGGCGAATTACGCTCCAGGAGCCCGGTTTACCTCTATTTTCTCTATATTGGATCAAAAATAATTTATTTTACCAATATTTCAGCTGGCTGAACGCCAACCTTTATCAAGGTGTTATAACATTTTAAAGTGTGTCAACAACAAACTCAGCGCCACATAACGTCAACAGCATTAAGTTTTTTAAAAATATTTTGTTATATTCAATTAGCCGAATGACCCGGGCAACGCCCAGGGTTTACCCGATTAAATGCTTTTATTAAAATTTGGCGCCGTGGATGTCATTCTAGTATAATATATAAATGAGTTTTAAAAATTAAAAAGAAAAAAAAATGCTTCGGCCGGGAATCGAACCCGGGGCGCCCGCCACTATAATATATAAATGAGTTTTAAAAATTGTAAAAAAAAAAAACATGGCAGGCGAGCATTCTACCACTGAACCAAAACCAGAGAGAGATAGACGGGCCCGGCAACCGCCGGCGTCCGCTCGCGTCGAACACAATCACCCAACTGTCTCCAAGGTCCCGAGGTGCCAAGTGACGGACCCCAGGAGCCCCTTGGAATGTCCTGATGTCTAAAGTGACACCCTTCAGCTGCCCATCCCTCTTTGGGTCGACTGTAGGTCCGTTTTATTATTCCAGGAAGAGTATATATTATAAGATAAAAGGATTTAAAAGCGCGAATGTTTCTTTTATAATAATACAAACTTCTACTGTCCTTACTGCGATGAAAAAATATATTGGGAGGGCTTGGCTCATCAGTGGTGAACCCTCCCAGCGGTTTCGCCAATTTAATCCACCAGACCGCTTCTCAGAGCTCTAATACTGTATTGGATCATTCTGCTTTTATATGCTACAATGAAGGATGGAATCTTAGAAATGGTTTTCAAGTAAACTATGGACATAAGCTTATAGGACAGTAGAATTACATTTAAATATTTGCATCGAGCAATGCTCTTCCGCAAACTATAAAGACAAGGCCAGTCAGGCATAAATTAATACATAGCAATAACGCGCCATCTATACATATAAGATAAAAGGATTTAAAAGCGCGAATGTTTCTTTTATAATAATACAAACTTCTACTGTCCTTACTGCGATGAAAAAATATATTGGGAGGGCTTGGCTCATCAGTGGTGAACCCTCCCAGCGGTTTCGCCAATTTAATCCACCAGACCGCTTCTCAGAGCTCTAATACTGTATTGGATCATTCTGCTTTTATATGCTACAATGAAGGATGGAATCTTAGAAATGGTTTTCAAGTAAACTATGGACATAAGCTTATAGGACAGTAGAATTACATTCAAATATTTGCTTCGAGCAATGCTCTTCAGCAAACTATAAAGACAAGGCCAGTTAGGCATAAATTATTAGAAGTTCGTATTATGTATAAAAGAAACATTCGTGCTTTTAAATCCTTTCATTTTAATAATTTATGCCTAACTGGCCTTGTCTTTATTGTTTGCGGAAGAGCATTGCTCGATGCAAATATTTGAATGTAATTCTACTGTCCTATAAGCTTATGTCCATAGTTTTCTTGAAAACCATTTCTGAGATTCCATCCTTCAGTGCTGCGTATATAAGCAGAATCGTCCAATACAGTATTAGAGCTCTGAGAAGCGGTCTGGTGGATTAAATTGGCGAAACCGCTGGGAGGGTTCACCACTGATGAGCCAAGCCCTCCCAATATATTTTTCATCGCAGTAAGGACAGTAGAAGTTCGTTTTATGTATAAAAGAAACATTCGCGCTTTTAAATCCTTTTATTTTATATGCATAGATGGCGCCTTATTGCTTTGTGTTAATTTATTCCTTATGGCCTTGTCTTTATAGTTTGCTGAAGAGCATTGCTCGAAGCAAATATTTGAATGTAATTCTACTGTCCTATAAGCTTATGTCCATAGTTTACTTGAAAACCATTTCTAAGATTCCATCCTTCATTGTAGCATATAAAAGCAGAATGATCCAATACAGTATTAGAGCTCTGAGAAGCGGTCTGGTGGATTAAATTGGCGAAATCGCTGGGAGGGTTCACCACTGATGAGCCAAGCCCTCCCAATATATTTTTTCATCGCAGTAAGGACAGTAGAAGTTTGTATTATTATAAAAGAAACATTCGCGCTTTTAAATCCTTTTATCTTATATGTATAGATGGCGCGTTATTGCTATGTATTAATTTATGCCTGACTGGCCTTGTCTTTATAGTTTGCGGAAGAGCATTGCTCGATGCAAATATTTAAATGTAATTCTACTGTCCTATAAGCTTATGTCCATAGTTTACTTGAAAACCATTTCTAAGATTCCATCCTTCATTGTAGCATATAAAAGCAGAATGATCCAATACAGTATTAGAGCTCTGAGAAGCGGTCTGGTGGATTAAATTGGCGAAACCGCTGGGAGGGTTCACCACTGATGAGCCAAGCCCTCCCAATATATTTTTTCATCGCAGTAAGGACAGTAGAAGTTTGTATTATTATAAAAGAAACATTCGCGCTTTTAAATCCTTTTATCTTATATGTATAGATGGCGCGTTATTGCTATGTATTAGTATATATTATGACATATGGCCCCGTTGAAGAAGGCTGAACATGGTTTGAGTATACTTAAAGCTGGATAAGCCAGGAATAGAGAAAATAACTTTACAGTTGAAATTAATTAAGGTTATGGTGACATAGTTTTATGTAAATAAAATATTGTATAGTACACAAGTAAATATTATTTACAAGCAATTTTACAACACAGGAGAGTTTGATATTTAAGGGAATTCTTTATAATATCAAAGTTATAAAAGGCTATATACAATAACATCTAATGTATTATAAGGGAAATGCTATGGAGGAGTGTGAACAACGAGAAGGGGAGTCACATACACATGATGAAATTCTGAAGGTCATTAAGACTGGGGAACTCTACACTTTAAGATATTTTTCAGGCGGACATGGCAAGGGGAAACTTGGCATGGGCTTTCTATGCTATAGGTGTAGAGTATGAGAAATGAGGTTGAGGTTGGAAATTGTGTGAGCTCAGGACTGAGGTAAATATAGAACTACATACAATGTTAGAATTTTGGCGAACAGAGCGAGGGAAAACTTGCTTTGGGCCATTCTACCTTATCTATGCAGTTACTTGTGTAGCGAGTCCGAGGGAAAAAGTCCCGTGTGTAGGTGAGGAAGTCGAATGGACTTATATTTAATTTGCGAAGATAAAGTAGTTCGAGATGCAAAGGTAGAATATAGACGGACAGAGCGAGGGGAAACTTGCTTTGGGCCTTTCTACCTTAATTATTTCGATACTATGAGACTTTAGTAGTTTTAGCTAATTGAAGGAAAGTATGCGCGCACAGTGCCAAAAATTGGGACGAGGACGGCGTTGTCCTTTACAAGTGACAAGCTGCTCGGACACGAGGTGTTTGAACCGTCGGGTGAGCTTGTGCGAGGCGATGATTTCGCGGTGGGTTGAACGTAAAACCCATGTTTGCGCGAAATAATGACGGACCGGACAAAATCAGCGACGATGTTTAACGTACCTCCGTGGGAAATATCGGAAGTAGGTTATATCGTGCTGGTTTGGACAAGGGACAAACATAGATTTGAAGACAGGGTCCGTGTGGCGAACGTGTGGCGCGAGAAGAAGGGGCGAACTGTGCCGCTCGATGCAGATTGTTCAAGTGCGAACAAAAAGGAGTTGATAAAAATCTAGCAGTTAGTTAATTTGCATCCTGTGACGAACACACCATTGGCTAGATGGTGTGGGTCGGTGGATATGCTAGAGATGAACTACGAAATATATTATCATAAATGAAGGGCGAAGATTAGAATTTTCAAATGGCAATATAGAAGTTCGATAATTGATTAATCAATAATTCTATAGAAGGTCATAAGCTGGTAGAAGGTTGACAAGTTATAAGGATGAGTGGGACATTCAGGGGGAGATTAATAAAGGTTACTAAAGGTTGGTTGTAAGCAAGGCTCACGTGGTGGTTGGAATTCTTCGACGCCTGAATTACAGAGTGAACTTTGAGTCGTTTATGGAAAGAAATTATTTTTCGTGAGCCGTGCTTACAAGTAGGAGAGGTCATATACAAATAGGTATACAAAAGTTTAGGTGCTGAAGGCATATTTTTATAGATAAATTGATTATGAAAAATCTATTGTTAATAGTAAAAATCGTAAAGCATTAATAGGTAGAATTCCATTTTTTTTAAGAGTTACGTTAAAATGGAAATTATTTAATTAAAATGACGATTGTTAAATTCTACTGGTAAGGTAACTAATTAAATGGGTTACAAATATCTAGATAAATAGTATGGAGACTAAAATCGTTGTTAATAGGCGTGGAGAGAATAAATGGAGCTAATTATGTAAATATTGGCATCAGAGTTTACAAGGAGCGAGTTCTTTAAAGAATGAATGGAAGGGGTAAAACAATTCCACTTACAGGTTATGCTGGTTTAGAGAGCAGGTAAGTTCATTGAGCTTCGGGAGAGTTCTGTCTGTGACACTGTGCGTACCAGTGTTGTACATCACAGTAGCGGCAGGGATATTGCGGAGTCTTGTCCATGATGGTGGGAGGTGTCCTGCTCTGGCACGGCGATCGTTCTTGGGCAGATCTAGTGCTGGGAGAAGTGTGCGGCAGGTTTATCACCGTCGTATGTGATGAGTTCTTCGGGATCACGGTTCAAAAGTTGGTCGAGACAGAGGGTGAGGGCTCGAAGAGAAGCGGCTACAGTAGAGTAGGTCGTTGAGTCTTGTGGAACTTGGTTGTGGGTTTGTCCGATCATCGTGGTGTTGCTACTTGTTTTCTTCATACTCTGGTATATGAGGGATTTGCTTCCCGGCCAGGTCTTATCCTGTCGACTTTCAATGTGACAATATAATAATAATGATGTGGGGAAAGAGAAATAATCACACCACGATTTGGTAGAGGAATTTGGAAGCCAACCAGAGAGAGATAGATGGGCCCAGCAACCGCTGGGCGTCCGCTCACGTCGAACACAATCACCCAACTGTCTCCATGGTCCCGAGGTGCCAAGTGACGGACCCCAGGAGCCCCTTGGAATGTCCTGATGTCTAAAGTGGCACCCTTCAGCTGCCCATCCCTCTCTGGGTCGACTGTAGGTCCGTTTTATTATTCCAGGAAGAGTACATATTATGACTTATATATATAACTAGCGAACCCGGCCACGCGTTGCTGTGGCTAAATTGTAATATGTTAAATTAACATTATACTAAACTATGCAGTACAGTAAAGTTAATATTCACATATAAAGATAAAAATATTTTAACCGATCCAAAGCCCTACGGGATTGAGAATGGAACGTTACGTTAATATTTGAAAGTGATTTTTATATATATAGATAATATAGCCCTTCATTGTAATCACTGATTATAATCACTGCATTAATAAATGTCAGTGAACTCGTTTATATGTAGTGTTTTTTGTTTTCGAGATAGTC